GTGTGTCCATCGGGCTCCCGGCCCCGCTGCTGGGTGTGACAGAGGAGCTGACTGCCGGCGTGTCCCCCTGCTGCGGGGCCTGCAGGGTCTGTCCACAGATGTGGTGGTGCTTTTCCCAGTCTTTGTGCTGGCAAAAGGAGCCACAGTATCGGGCTGTGTTACAGCCACTGCAGGTTTCACTTGCTTTACGGCCACAATTCCAGCAACTCTAAAGGAGATGGCAGAAGAAAGGGAGATCCCAAATGAATGCATGGTTGAGGCAAAAGTCTGATAAATACATTAGACAGTACCGTGCCCAACTATACCATTGCAGCTACACAGCTGGAATGCAAGCTTTAGGTGTATGTATGTGAATCTACGAGCTGAACACACAGAGGAGGCAGTGTTGGGTGAAATCATCATCCTAACTTTTCTGCTATCATTATAGCATCCAACAAAGTAGAGGAAGAGCCTCCTTTCAACATTAACTCAAAAGTCCTTTCTTTTTAGGCTTGGCTCTCTTCACATCTAGACTATTCCCTGTTCAAATATACTAACCAGCAATTTCTATATACTAATTGTTGCCCCTTTTAATACTGGTACCATGATGGTACACACACATATACCATCTTAGACAGAAGCAACTTCCTTCCAGACACTAGCAGGAATCATAAAGGAAACACCAGACATATGCACTGGACTTAAGGAAATACAATGGAGTATGACAAAGGAGTCAATTCCCGCCTCAATCCCAGGCTAGACAGGGTGAGGCAAGGCACTTGTAACCTCTCTGTGTTTAGTTCTTCCACTTCAGTTGTTAGGTGTAACATAACCCAATGCGAGGATGGTCTTAAAACAATCCCCTTCACCTCAGCAACCTGGAGAGCAGGATCCTTGGTTTGTTTTTGCTGATATTATAAACATCAGTGCCTCACCTATCAAGTAGATGCTGGATTAATAACTGTAAAATGAATAAATCAGATGAGGCCTAATGATTTAGTTTTGAAAAAGTGAGAAATTCTGAAACCAGATAAATAACAATTCTCATTGCATACAACACTTTCTGACTGGTGCAATTCCTTTGCAACTTGAGGAAGTTCGAAGAGCAGAAGAAATTGGGGCTCATCTGTGAGTGAGAAGAACTAAACGCTGACCCTAGAAAGTCAGCTGCCCATCTCTTGGGTGGTATCTTGCAAGATGTCAAAAAGGCACAGATGAGATTGCTTCAGACTCTAAGATGAGCACCTCGTGAATCAAAGCACAGAGGTCAGAGAGCGAAGAACACCTATCTGGTACAGATCTTAGGGAAGTTAGAACAATGGGTAAGGGACCCTTTCAGAAGGGGACTGAACCTCAGAAAGCTGACTTTTAAAATGTTCATTTACATGGTTAAATGTCCCTAGCTCCTTTGGTACTACCAATTCCACTGTGAAATGCTGTGCCCAAGTGATCTTAACTTTCCGCCATGCAGTATTGTATTCTTCATCTTCACTGGTTTTGACTATTCTCTTGCAAAACAAATTTCTCACTATAGTCTGGTAACTCCAACAAGCTGAGGGTATGTAGTTATGTTACAATTCAAATGAATTTTTTAAAGCCCTGATATAGATAAGTGTCCCCACTGTGTTCTCTACATTTGTTTTACTTTCAACATGCTGGTTATGTGGCTCAAGGTGGGTTCATGAGCCTACTGAAAAGGACCCTGTGGGATATCAGCCCATCCCCTGGTGTGTAAGCCTTTACCATTGTGCAAAATGTGCACACAACTGTTAGCAGTCAAACCTAACTTTTCTAACACCTCGAGGCTTTTGAATACCAGAAGGCTGTGAACTCAAGAATTCCGGTTTAAACTTTTAGAAAGAGCTTAGTTCTACATTCTTATTTCTTTACCATTCAGAAATTATGGCCCAATGGGGGGGAAAAACACAAAGAATTTATGGTCTCAAACTCTACCCACTAGAGGCATTTATATGAACTCAGAGGAGATCTAGAAACTTGGACGATACATAAATGTTAGAAGCAAAAATGAAGCTAAAATAATCAGTACTGGAACTTAGAACAAAGTCAGTTTTTTCTACTTGAGTTAAAGTAAATATCTCAAAAGCTGTAAATCTGTTATCAGAGGCTTCATTATCATAACTAGAAGCCCTCTTTTCCCAAATTAATTCCACTGCAATGCATGGATGATGGTTCTACAATGATGTGAATAAACGTGGGCCCGATGCACCCTTCCAAGCAGTGAGATAGGACACTTCAGCGCTCTGAATGAAGTTTATTTCCCTGAGGTTTAACTTTTAGAAGATTGCCAGCTGGGTTCTGGAACAAACTCAGCAAATAAGCGATATTCCTAAATTACATCAGAAAATCCCAATTAGAGAACAGAGACCCAAATCCAAAACAATATTTTAAGGAAATTAAACATCTAATCTGAGTCAAGTGGCTTCTTTAGGAAATACCCTGGTGTGAGTCCTATCCGTTTTTTTGGCAGCGGCACATTTTGGCAGACACAAGGGTGGTAACTGCCCAATACTCAATGGCTCCTTCAGATTGAAATCAGATGTATGCAACATTCTCAATTTAAACTGATTAAACACACAGACTAAACCAGGTAATTACAAATGCATGTGTTGGGGAGTGGAAAGAGGAGACAGAATGGGGACTTCTTTATTTTTTAAAGTGTTTCCAAAGATGGGAACAATTTTACAAATAAAAAAAAAGTGGAACTGTTCCAAATACAGAAACAGATGTTTTGGATCGTGAAGCTGCTGGGAATTGAGGCTTCTTGCCTAGCATTGCCTGGTTCTGATCCAGGATTTAAGGGCTCTGGCTAGTTTTACCTCTAGTTCATTCTGATGTTGTTCGATTGTATTCATTTACCACCCACCACTGGGACAAAACAACCTTCGGCTCTAGGAAGGTACGACAAAGAACAAATTAAATGATCTGATAGGGGGGAAAAAAGAACCTTGCATATTTTTATTGCTCTTGACACAGTACTGCAATGAACATGTAGGGAACTTTAGCACATGTTCAACTAACAAAAATTTCCAAGTGCATATTCCTTTTTAAAAACTCATTGGAAAACTGAAGATGCTTTCTCTTAATATATTTCTCTCAGATGGCTTCACTGCATTTCCTGCTTCCTCCTGTAGGGCTGATGTCAGACCAGGGATACTCAGCCTCTGAAAAGTCACAATCCTAGCAAGAGAGGACAGTGCAGGATCCTGTGAGTACTCTAAGTGGGATCATGTTAAGTTTCCAAGCTTTCTTCAGCCCACAAAGGTGGAAGCTACAAATTGTGTCTATAACACACAGGGGCAGAGCCACAAAGGCAGGTATAAAGGTGGTCAATGACTAATCGAATTTTACATGTTTCAGTACCTGCTTTTTATAGTCAGATTAGTAGACCCTAGTAGTTGTTTTATTTTAAATAACTGAGCTCCTCTTTCAAGGTTCTCAGGAAGGATGCCAGTGACTGAAATCACCGCGACAGTGTGTAAATGTTCAGAAATACTCTTTTTACAGTACATTTCATTCCCTAAACTCATGTGCTTTAGAGTCTATATTAGACTATATTAGTCTATATTCCTTTTCTGGCATAAAGAATATTTTCTTCCCTATCTGCAAGACGAGAAGAAGTCATTTGGCCAAAGCTGGACTGTGACTCTGAAGAGTCTAAGGCTGAACCCAAACCTCCCCTTCACTAAATATACTAAACACAAGGCTACATATGGACATAGAGGTGATAGACCGAATCTTCTGGATGCCATAGCTGCATATCAAAGATTTTTGACTCTTTGTTTCCTATCATCAATTCTTTTCTGCTCCAAAGAAAAACATTTCCTTTATCTTATTTTTGAAACATAGAATGGTCTTTCTGTCCTACCAGAAAAATATATCCCTTCAAGTTCTTACTGTTGAAAAGGACAAGAGATTTTTCTCCTGAATTATTTTATGTTTCTCTAAGTCTGACACTGAATCAATGCTCAGTAAATTTAAGTGGAAGGATTATAAATTTAAAATTTTTCAAATGTAAAGAACTCTACAGAAGGCAACACATTGACTTAAATGCACACTGAAATCACATTATAAACTTGCATCTCACTTTGACAATTGAAAATCACTGTCACATTCATTTTGTAGCTCAAGAAACTGAGGTCCCTAAAACTTTCAAAGTTAAAAAAAAAAAAAAACTTGCTCAAAGTTACAAAGATAAGAAAAGATATGGCCCAACATTTGAGTTCTTTAGGTATTTGGACTGCAAATCAAATTTTCTTCCCAAAATGCCATATTTTGTCAATTTCAGATTTTTTTAAACATATTGTTGGAACAGAACAGATCTGATGGGCCCTTAATCCCTGAAAGTGGATGAAGGTTGGACCAGGAAATTGGAGACATCAAGGACAGATGTCCTGGTGCGTAATGGAAATGGCACAGGCTGAGAACAAGGCTAACCTGTGTTCCATTCCAACTTCATCATTTAGTGGCTTTGGAACCACAAGGCAAGTTCCTTAGACTCCTGGAGCAACAGTACCTATAGAGCAGAAATAAGAACTGCGCAGGATCATTCAGGGTCATGTCAGTGCTGAGCAGTATCTGAGGATCAGGGGGGGTCCAGAAGAAGTGGCAGCAGAAGCCTCATTGGCTCCTCTTGGCTCGAGGTAGAAGAAATAAGAGTATATAAACCCCTTCTCCAGGCCCTGCACCTCTCTGCCTTTACAGGAAGCTGGTGACCCTGTCCAAACTGGATGCCTTCCCCACTGGCATGACTGCTACAGGGAATGAACATCACGTTTCTTCCCTTTACTTCATAAGTAACTAAAGCATTTTTACCTCCATCCTCACCATCCTCAGACTTTCTAAAGATTAATCACTACTGAGCACTTCCCCATTCCTCCTTTTTAATGTTCCTGATTCTGATTTCCAAGATACTGAAACTCTCTTTCTTGTACTGTAACTTCCTCTTTATTTCCCTCTAAGTAGTTCTCAAAGGGGGAGGGCCAACCAACACATATCCCCCTTCCTTCCTCTGTGCTCCCTTATCAGATCTGATTTCAACCCTCAGCTGTAAGTGAATGACTCCCAAAACCGTTTGTCCATCTCATCTTCCTGAGCTGCATTCTCTCAATTCCCTGCTCTGGATGGAGCCCCACCAGGATGCTCCTGTAAGTCAGTGTTCCCTGCACTTGACTCTGGAGCCATTCACTGGTAACGCCCACTCCCAAGACTTGAATGTTTGATTGCAAACTGCTCTACAGCCCCAGCAACCACTACACAAAGAACTCTACAGAACTCTACAGTCTTGACTTCTAGTCTCCATCCTGTGCTTTCTTACCTCATGGTTACTCCTGAATCTCCTCAGACCTTTCCTATTAGGATCATTTCTTAACCGCCCCCCATCTATCTATCCCTCCCTCCTCCTCCTCCCCCTCCCCCTTCCCCCCCCTTTCTCCTCATTGATCAAGCAAACTTTTATATATTAAATACTTGTCATCTAATGTCTATCCCTCAACCACCTTACAAAGTGGGTCACAAACATTATCCTAGTTTTGCAGGTGAGAAAACCAAAGCTCCAAAAAATAAGCAACTCAAAGTCAGTCCAAGGCCTGTTCTTTGTCCACTACCCCATGAACACCTATGGAATCAAACAGCATGTCTTTTAATAAATAAAGCCAAAATATAGAGAAAGCTAATGCTGGCATTAAATTCCTGGTGAAACACATATTTCACTATAAAAAATACAGAAAGTATCATACTGCTTAGGTTCTGTCCCAAGTACAGAGTCATTCTAACTTCGAGTAATAATAATTATTAGTCTATAAACTGAAATAAAGCTAGGAAACTAGGAAGAGATAATTGAGCAGAGTCCAATGAAGAAACAGATACACTAGTGCACAATTGGAGGAAAATAATTCCTACTACTGCCATGTGACTATTAAGAAGGTAGCTTACAAGGCAGGCAACCTGGGCTTAGGACAGCTCACATGTACTGACTGAGATGCTGAACAAGTGACCTAATCCCTTCAAGACAACTTTCTTAACTGCAAATTGAAAAAACAAACAAACAAAAATAAAAACAGCTCCTTACTCTGTCAGAGCTGGTATGAGAAGAAAGAGCTAAAGTATATGAGGTAGCTCTGTATCACACCTGGCACCGGGACAGAAACTTATTGTAGGTCTTCTCATTTCATCACAGGCAAAACAAACTTCATAGAACCGTTTTTAACCCTGCTTCTGACCCCCCCCCCCATTCCTGGTGCCTGGGATGGACAGCCAGTTCACAGGAGTGGTCCATCCCAGCAGGAGCACCCTGTTTACTCTGAGAAGCATCCCAGTTTGGACGATAAATTAAAATGGGTCCTCTGTCCCTCACAAGTAATACCCCTGTGTTAGTCATGCCTGCTCTGGTCTTCTCGGTAAAACATTTTCAGCTCTTCTCTCCTCTTTCCATATTTTCTCTATCCTATGCTGCCAACTTTTTAGAACCACAGGTTTTTCTAAGCATGAAGGGAATGACTAGTTCCTTTTTATGTGATGTGAAAACTAAGGTACAGGAGGAAAGCTAAATGCAGAAATTACAGAGAGAAGTAGTCAGATGTCTATACTTAAAACAAGCAGCACACTGGGACAGAACTCTAGTGTTCTAATTCTGAAGCACAAGTGCTTTCTCAAAGTCTCTATAAAGACCTTACAAAATACACACATACAAAATAACATGTGTATTTATATCATCTACATGTATTTTTTTGCAGATGTGAATTATATAAATTATACACCTGATCATAAGAGGTGAGCTAATGACTACAAGAGGTGGCTTCAAATAAAGAGGGGGAAAAGGAGAAGGGGATGYTGTTTCAGGCACAAGTTTAGCATATACTGTCTGAAGGATGACTGTGGAAACTTGAATAAATTAAAATATGCAAAAAAATATGATTGTGTGAAATATGAGCAGATAATAATGCCTTGAGTTTTCACTCTTCAAACACTATATAATATTGCTGTTAAAACTATTTTTTAACAACTAAGTTAGGCAGGTGAAGTGAAAGATGACTCGMTCAAGAACCCAAGATGGCAACAGAGCTGGGCCACAATCCAGTCCTGGGGCACTGCCCTTGGATTCCTTCTGCCACAGAGCAGATGATCATCCAATCAGCTGAACATGGCCTTTAAATGTTGTGACCGTACAACATCATCCAAACCAGGACACCTGAGAGTAGAAGGAACCACTCTGAGCAGCTACATGAGGATGACATGTATAAACTGGGACTGGCCTACTCAAGCCAGGATGCAGGGCCATCTTGCTGTTCACCTTCCAATGCACAGCCCCAGTTCTCACATTCGACAAGATGAACTACTTAAGCTTCTGTGCTCTATTTGCCCTTTCCAGTAAACAGAGAAGACGAGTCTAGCTGGATTCAATAATTGATTAGAGCTTTTAAACGTTTTTAACTGATGTTGCTTATGCACACACACAAAATGAGCAAAGGTTGTCTTCCCCAGCACCCTTACACCTACGTTGGGTAGACTGAAGCCAGCAAGTTTGTGAAAGTGGTTCAAGTAGAGTCAACTGATGTRTGTACCCTGAACTTCTTTCCTGACAAGCACATTTTCTCTTGCCCATTCTACCTCCTGGGTTTCCAGCCAGCACACCCAATTTTCCCCACCCCAGCACCACTACCAATCATCTTCATCTACCCATTGTCCTCCTGAAACACTGAGACAGTCCCTCTTTTACATTTYCTCTAATCTCTTGCCACACTGCAGTCTGAGTGATCTTTATCAACACCTATCAGTCACAGGGCCATCATGCTTCCAAAGACCAGCAAAGCTTCCTTTCCCATCCTCTCTCTTGTCCCCTGCACATGCCCACCGCCCCAGGAACCATCATAACGTGGTGGGAGGTGGGGAGGGCAGCTGTAAATCCAGTCTTGATTAGCTTTAAGYACTGGAAGCCTTCACTTTAAACTTTATTATGACTCTTACAATTTGGTGATCCAACTCTCCCATTGAACTGTTAACATGCATCGGTGACTTCTGTACCCTCAGTGCCAGCAATGTCCCTGATATATAATAAAAGCTCAGTAATTTGTTGAAAGAATAAATGGATAAATGAATGTAGTTTAATTCTATATGTAGCAAATAACCTACTTCCCTGGGTAGGTCACAAAAAGAAGGTCTATTAATTTCTGAATGCAGTTTTTAAATCAATAGCTGTTGCATTTAATGGGCATACATATATTTTTTCGAAGCAATTACTATCATGTCCAGGTCTTTTTTTTCCCTAAAAAAATGAATCRTTCACAACGTATCTAAATCACAATGCTATGTGGGCTGAATTTGGGGTTGAATGGTTAATATTTAAGATAAATCCTGAATTAAAAAACAGAAATTAGGTGAAAATTCTAAAATGTCCTGGACTAGGACTAACAGATTCTCTTTACTTTTGGGGTTCAGCCATGATTAGGGCACTTTCTTCTAGCCCAAGGAAACCAGAGTTTTCTGCTGTCCAGAAAGAGCCCAGGGAACTGTTTAGACTTGAGATCTGTTCGATACAACATATGACAATGATAAAGACTGTTGTCAAAATCATATCTTTTCTGCATAGGTTTTAGAATAAAGACACAAAGCTTATAGCTACTGAAGAAATACAGCATATTATTGTGCAAACGTAAAGACTTACTAATTCACAATTTCTTCTTAGACATTTGTCTTTAGATTTTAGGGACCTACAAAAAAATGCTCTTAACAGCCCTAAAACATTCATGTGAAAGTGATAATATCTGAAGAATGACAAATGTGCCCTACAATGTTACTAACTTATACAAGTTCTCTTCAAAAGATGCTAATGAATTTTTTCAAAACACATAAACACAAAACAAAGTCCTTATATATCTTAGCTGCTAGATGCCAATGAAATTGAATTTCTGTCTAGTTTAATTCGACAATGGAAAAGTCAGCAGTTAAAGGGTAGATAAACTTTCCTTTGTCCCTCTCTTCCTGAGAAACTTTCAAATGTTGAAAATCAATTCCTTTTGTCCCCTTGTTATTCATCTGCTACACATTAAATAGAAACTCTGGGCATTGAGTGATTCCCGCAGGGTCTTTCATCTACAGAAAAGCCTGGTACAAATTAAATTCTTACTCTCTCTCACAAATTATAGATATGTATTGTAGTAGACCATTGATTTATCAGTTCATGCCTTTGCAGAGTTCAGCTTTGTGAGACTAGTTAATTGTAGTCTTTTATCTAAAGTTACTTTAGGGTTGAGGATTGTGATGCTGTATTAATTAACATGGAACATTTCTTTGCTCTGATTTATAGGCTATATTGTAAAAAGTACCTTGTTACATTTTAGTTATTTACTTCCTAGATCCTTGAGTCATTCATACTATGTTGAGCCCATATGTGTCTATGTGTATGTGTGATCATTATTACATGGGAATTATACCAAATAATATTATTTCTAATAGCAATGTAATGACCATCATGGTTATGACAAACATTATGAAAATACAGATTGTAAAATGTTTTAGAACTCTTTAGCTGATGCAAATATCATTTTATCATTAACTTTAGGCCTAATAGAACTAATTTGGATTCCAGTGCTGCAGTAGGTCTTTGGAGACCATAGCTTACAGAACACAGCTCTATTAAATCCCTTTAAGGAGGAAACAATCAATACACATGTACACATGCGCCTGGGTGCACACACGCACAGAGTTGGGTTTTGAGTGTCCCAAAGATGGGAGGTGAAGCATTTCACCTTAATCTGATTATCAAACATTTTAAAATCACTTTTGGCCAAGAATTTTTCCTTAGGTCTTTAATAAAGAAACAAAATTTGACCAGTTCTTGGTCAATTCCACAAGTGCTTTCTGACTTTCCCAAATTGAAATTTTTTTCCTAAAATTTTTATTTGTGATCTCCTGGATTGAAAAATGAGCAGTTTAGTTAGTGAAAACTGTAACGCTCACTTGGAAGCTCTACCAAATGTCTTACCTCACTCGAATCCTCCTGCTGATTGATAACCGCCAGTGCGTCCTCTGCCGCCTGCCTCTTGGCTTCTGCCACTGTGCGCTCCATCTTGGCTCGCTCYGTCGTGATCATGTCGTGGGCTTTCCGCTCAGCCTCAGACACGGCCTTCTGCAGCTCTGTCATCGCCTGGCGCTTCACCTCATTGACGGCCTCCTCTGTGTGCCCATCGGGCAAACCAGACAAGAGAACATCTCTCAGTCCAGGATCTTGGACACTGATCCCTTTTTAACAGAATTTTATCCAACAGGCATGACTCTCATCCAAATTATTGGGTGGTTCTGGCTAAGAAAATAGCAGATCTTTGAAATTCACTCAGGAGTGAGGATGTTTCCTTAACTTGTACTTCTGGGAGTATTTTTGAAATGCTTATAACATTGCTACAACTTTTCTACCAAACCAACGTCTCCAGAAATGAATCTGAGACCAGTGTATCACCAAGTGCAAGAACACCCACAGAAACCTTCCTGGATCATTCAGATACATAAAAAAGGTAGTCCACAACACTAAGATTATATAAATATAAAATGTTCACAGGTAAAGTTCTCAAAAAACAACAGAGAAAGAAGAAAAAATTACATGTATCCAGATATGAGTGCAAATAATAATTTTGTTGGCAAAAAATACAAACGAGTGAAAAGGTAATTTAGCAATTAATACAGACCTTTTAAATCAAATCGATGAAACAGATGATCCAGTTTTCTTTAAGTCATTTTCTGAGTAATATAGATGTGCTTTTATAAAGCACATTTATAGACCTAATGATAATTTTTTTWAAAAAATAATCTCCTATGTTTTAAGCAGTTATCCACGGATTTYATCAAATCTACACCATGATGGTTCTGCATAACCAACTGTTGCACCAGCAAACATGACTGAATCATACACTACAACCCAAAATGATCAGGCCTAAATGCAAACCTGCAAGGTGTCAAATCAGCTCTTTTTTTGGCTGTAGTAAGGGTGCAAATACTCAACTAATGTATAACATAAGATTGACAACTAAAACAAGTAATTTCCATTTTAAAAAATTAACGAACGTTCTAATTAACAAGGGAAAATATCCTCCTCCTGAATTAGTTTATCTAATTTTCATCTTTATTCAAAGCAAAATGACAATGATTAATTGAAAATTTAATAAGCAGTAATTATTAACTTGGCAAACCTAGTACCAATTAACACTCTATTAAAACTAATTATGACATGTTTCATTCAAGTGTTTGCACTTAATTGTTTCACCCACTTAAAAACCACCTTAATTAAATGTTCTGTTTAATTAAAAACATAGATTCCTAATAAAAATGTTTTACTGTAGATTAAAAAACATAAGAGATGTTAGTACTCCCTGGATTTCTTAAATTCCTAAGGTTTATTTTGCATATCTGTAGCCCATGATGTGAGAACCATCAGAAGCTCCCTACTAGTAATCTGCTGCCCTGACTTTTGTAGCTCTGTCACTTTGGCAGCATCATATCTGAAATACTTTCATTTGCAATTACTGTCCACTAGGTTTTACCATCTAAAGTATAAGAGAAAGATCCAGACTGGAAATATTAACCAAAATATGTTAAGCCTTTGTTAGTTGCTTCAAGGTATGTGACTAAAATCTGGATAGAATCAGGGTATTACAGACAGATCTTATAGCATCTTCTTTACCAGGAGTCGAAAGATGCCTTTATTACCCCATCTTAAATGACTCTGGGCACCAGGGAAGGACTGCCCTTCTAACTWCACAGCCAGGGTCTAATTTAGTTTGAATATTCAAGGTGAATTAAAATTCTATCTAAGTGGTAATACAGGACAATAATTTTTGCTTAYGATCAAAGCTGTAGCTTGACTAATTGTATATGCAAATCAGGCAATTTATATTTAAATTATGCATTCCTATTCTAATCCCACAGGCATATACAGATCAGCAAAGAGAATTGGTAGGACATTTGCAAGGTGCTTGAATATTTATTACCAACTGCAAACATTCTCTGATCGTTTAAAAAGAAATATACTGAAGAAAACATTCAGTTGCAATTTTAAAACCATCTTTATGTTAGATTATTTTCCAGTTTTATAAAGATCCTTTGTAACTTCTGAGTTACATTTGTTGTCTTTGCTATTGCTTTTAAAAATACTACTTTTCAGGAAAAACTGATGTGTTCAACATTTAGTAAGATTTCTAATCTTTAAAAATGTGCAATATTAATCTGTATTATTGGAGCAATGTGCAAAATCTGCATAGGGTCTGTAGATGAAATATAGTTCAGTATTGGGCTGGGGTTGTGGCCCAGTGGTAGAGTGCTTGCCTAGCATGTGTGAGGAGGCACTGGGTTTGATCCTCAGCACCATATAAAAATAAATAAATAAAATAAAGGTATTGTGTCCACAACTAAAAAATATAATAGTGTAGTATCAATGTTCATGTCCTGATTTTGGTAAATATTCTATAGTTATGTGAGAAAGAATATATTGTTCTTAGGAAATAAACATTAAAATGTTTAGGGTAAAAAGACATTGAATCTAAAACTTATTCTCAAATGGCTATATGTGGGCATACACACACACACACACACACACACACGCACACACACACACACACATATATATATGGTAAAGTGAAGAATCTGGGTAAAAGCTACAAGAAAAATTTTTATATACATTTATACATTTTTGCAACTTTTATGCAAGTTTGAAATCACTACAAAGTAAAATGGTATAAAAACTGTATGATACAATTTCAAGCACAATATATACTTTTTGCAATTATTTTCCGTGTAAAAGGATGCATTGCTAGACTGCATCACACTTAGAACATTTTAGAGATCCACCACTTGGGTATTTTTCAAGTGCTTTAAATTTTATTTACTTTTGCTTCAAAGACAATGTGTAGTACTTTCATTGCAAAGACACACTTAATAGGTTTCTTCCTTTTTTTTTAAAAAAAAAGTGTTTTTGCACAGCAAATTTTAGAATCCTAGGGGAAAAAAAAAGCTTTCAAATTTTAACAAGCTGAGTRCAGATGTCACATTATGCCCTTGGTGTCTTCTTCAGGTTGGCTGTCTTGACCCTGAGAACACCAGTAATGTCTTTTAAGAAGCATATATGGATATTATAAGCAGATGGATAGTATAAGCAGTTATTGGAGATTTCCAGATAAAACTGCTATCCATACTTTAATATACTCTCTAAAATTTAACATGCACCCATAGAAAACTACTCCCAACCACTACCACTGTTCTTAAGTGGCATATTAGGGGCACTACTGTGAGAATATGAACTTAATCTGCACTATTAACAAATCATCAATGATAGCCACATCTAAAAATTAAATAATCTAAAAACATTTTCTCGATGATTAACCTGTCTTAAAGAGTGCAGTGACACAACAGGAAAAAAAAAAAAAAAAAAAAAAGCAGTGTTCTTTTTCTATTCTTTAAGTCCGCCAAACAAAAAGTGCATGAAGACTGGGTTCAGAGACCCACAAAACAGTGAAGAAAAATAATGGTAGATTCAATAGATTATAACATATCAAGTAGAAAAAACACTGATTAAGTAGAAAATACACAGCACAGTTCTGAATCTGCTTCCAATTGCTCACCACTTATGGTAGGACTTCCTTTGTGCTTAGCTATTCAAGTTGACTTTCCAACAAAGGTGGTATATTCAGAAAAATCTGTTCTCACTTAATAGCAGTCTAACAAAGACTTGAGCAGGTAATAGCACAGAAGGAATTTGGATTACACAAGACCTTACTGTCAACTTTTCTTTAAGAACTATCAAGAATTTAACTTAAATACACATTAAGTAAGGGGAACAGGAAAAGACTCTCCCCTCTCAACATAAAAAGTCATCCTTCTGCTGTCCAAACGGCAATTCTTTATGCCTCTTACTTGAATAAGATGCACTGTCAGCTTAAAAATGGAGAAGAAAAATGGTTAGGAGGAAGACGTAGCAACTCTCTCAGGTATCTGGCATTCAGCATATTTGAACAACTTGGAGAAATCATGTGACTTATTACCATAAATCAGGTAATACTATATAGGTAAGCAACATACACATTTTAATATTTAAGCTGAATGAATCTATCTGATTTGCATATTGACAAGCAAGAGAAYGTTCTTAATCTAAGCTACTGAACTTAGAGTACTATCAGATTTTAAAACTTCTTATCCCACTTATAAAAACTGGTATTTCAGCCAGGCATCCCAGCTACTGTTGAGGCTGAGGCAGGAGGACCACAAGTTCAAGGACAGCTTTGGAAACTTAGTGAGACCCTGTCTCAAAATAAAAAAGACTACAGATGTGGCTCAGTAGTAGAATGCCCCAGTATTACAAAAATAAATAATAATACATAAATACTAAAAAACTGGTATTTCTTAGAAAATCTATATTTGGATAAGATACTAGTAACCAGAGATTTGGCAAATTGCAGAGAACTACAAACACAGCTGAGTCAATCAAAACCCAAGGGAAGTCGTTTGTACAAAAAACAACAAATAACCTTTGCCTTGATTCTTCCATTAGTGCTATCACCCCTACATCCATTTGACTCTGCACAAATGGCATTTCCCATTTTCCCACCTCAAATGGTCTAACAATTCTAACAGTTGGAGTTACAGCAGCTTAGAACCTAGTCAGGTTTTATGCAAGATTTTGTGCAGCTGGAGTTYCACAAAGATTCTGCCAGATCTGAACTTCTTTAAGCCCAATAATCAGTTAAGGGGTCGGGAGAAGCTTTAAATCTACTACAAAATATAGAGCAATACCTCTCAATGGAAAGCAGACAGTGCATATGGCAAGGAAAGACAGAAGGTTAGCAACTTTTGTCATTCAACTTAAAACATAATTTAGCTCTGATCCATGAATATTAACTAGCACAAAAGATCAATTTTAAAGCTAATTGTGAACAAAAATTCTTAACACGTTCCTTAACAAGTCAACTGATTTGATGTGATTTTGTTTTTGAAGAGCAAAATGCTGAAGTATGCAATTTAATTTCTTTAAACACTGGATTTTTTTTTCATCAAAGAAAACTGCATGTAAGCTAAGACCTCCTATGCCAAATTCCAGCCTGAAACCATTATAGCTCCTGAAAAAAAGGGGTTTATAAAGGAAATATTGCCAGCCTTTCAATTATAATGGCACTAGCAGATGCTACTAAAATAAAAACTATTTCATGTTTTAATCAGGGCTGGTCTAAGAATATTAATGAGGTTTTTTTGTTTTGTTTTATGGGTTTTTGTTTTGTTTTGTTTTTGCTATTGTTGTTAGCAGTAAAGTCCTTTCTTGTCATTCTTCACATCACTGCATTAACAACTGCACACAGCTGCCAGAACACTAAACTCGTGTTTTTAAACAATTCTTACCAGCTTTCTTCCAGATCTCCTCTGGCACATATCCAGATGCAGGCCTGTGAAGGAATTCCCGATGCGCATCTATGAAGAGGGTGGGAAGGGGGTGGAGAGAAGGGAGAGTACCATCAGCATCCTCACATCCTTATACAGAGTGAAGCAAGCAATGCCCTTCTCTTGGCTTTGCTACAAAAATGCAATTTTAAAAGGTTGAACATTTCACTTCTAGAAAATACACAAAAATAGCAAGACCAATCATCAAAGCCCAGGGAAATAAGAGGGCCATTGGTCTACAYGCCTCATATGCTCAAMTCCAAAGCAACTTTCTTTCTTTAAAACATATGCTGTTTGGGAACACTTCTCAGATTCTCTCACTGTGAGGATTTCTATAGGTATGTTTTATATTGTTAAATAAATTATATTTTTAACTTTTCCTTTCAAGAGTCAAACTAATAGTTTAAAGAAAAAATGATCAAATGTCAGGATAATATAATTCCCACAGAGCTCCAATACTACTATCTTTCAATAAATGGTCAGCCCTACTTGATGACTAACCAGTTCTCACACCTAATTACTTCTTAAAAATATCACTAAGCATCAATATTTTTAACATGAATTAGATTATATGGATTTGACATCAGTGGAAACTAGAAAGACTCATTATAATGAATTCACAGACATTCAGTTCACCAAACAAAGCTTGGTATGTGGCTTCCAGGAAAGGAAATGATGTACTGATGACAACTTTTAAAGACAATTTTAAAGGATAAAACACTTTAACTGCTTTGCTTCTTAGGCTGTCAAATTTTAAAAGTTTGAGGAAACTCATAATAAAGTAGATATAGGAATGCTAACTTTCAAAGGAACTTGTTYACAGAAATGGCATGAACATTTTATATTTTTTATATAATGCTTGAGTATCTAGAGACATCTATAGCTAAAATCTGCATGTCATGTCTTCCATATTGGATTTTTTTGGGGGGAAGTGGGTACTGGGGATTGAACCCAGGGCACTTTACCACTGAGCTACATCCTCAGCCCCATTTTGAGACAGGGATCTCCTACAGTTGCTTGGGATTTCCTCAAATTGCTGAAGCTGACCTCGAACTTATGCTCAGCCTCCTGGGTTACTTTGATTACAGGTGTGTGCCACTGTGTGCAGCCCATACTGAATTTTCAATGAAAGCCTGTACATTTGGGAAGATTTTAGGATGAAAATAATCAACACTGTACTTCTATAAAATATAATAATTATTCAACCCATGATAAATTTCAAGTAGAACTGAAGTTTTCTCTACATTTAAAAGAAATGCCAAGTTAACAGACTGATATTTTAAAATAATACTTTATCTAATGATATGTTGAAGGTCAAAAGAAATTCAGTCCAGTATCCTATATTTTATGCAGCTACAGAACATGAAGAAAAAGAAAAAGCACAATCAATTTAGTTAAGTGTATGTCATTATATTTAAATGCTTTAAATACAAATGAGTGTTCTGAATCCAAGCACGGTATATAGTTTATCAAGTGGCTAGAACCCTAGATTATAACAACTATGTTGAATTAGGAAAAATCTATAACACTTTGGTGAAGGCTATACAGAAACTCTTCATACTWTCTTTGCAATATTTTCTTAAGTCTAAATTTATTCCAGAGAGTTTCTTTTTAAAAGTTTACGTTATAATTTCACGACTACTGAATAATCAGATGGCCTGGAAATATCCATGCATTTTCATATGCACATTCATTTCCACAAAGTAAATGACAAAACCAAAAAGTTCTTTCTGAAACAATTTTCATTCTTAAAGAAAGCTAGATAAAACTGGTGCATATACAACTTGGAAATAGGACATAGTTAATTAGGTTTTTCAAGATTACCTTCTTTAGCAACTATAACTATTTCCAGAAGAAGTGCTATGAAATTCACATTTAGACAAGTACAGTAAAACAGAAAGATATACTTAAGACAACTTTTAAAGACAATTTTTAACAATAAAAGACTTAAACTTAAGTATAAATAATTGGATAAGAAAGAATAGATAGTAAAGTGTAAACACAGAAAAAAAATGCCTTTTCCAAAGAAGCAAATTTTTTTCATTTTTCAAAATTTTTGATGAAGAACCAAACTTTATTATAAGGAAAAAGAAAAATCTTTTAAAAGATTTTTTAAAGTGCTAAGTTATCCAAAGTTCATGCATAAATAATACTAATTACTAGTCCCAGGCAAATAGAGAGAAGAGAGTTCTAAAACCCAGTGGAGGTGAATTTTAGCTTTACCAACTACTATTTACATGACATTGGGGAAGTTAGCTTCCCCTTGCCTCAGCTGCCCCATGTAAGGCAAGGGCTACTTCATCTGAGGATTGAAGAAGGTGCTCCCCACAACATGCTTGGCATAGCATGTCCTATGCTTTCATTAGACATTACTTGCTATTTATTATCTTCATCATTACCATTATTTAGCAGGCTGACCACTAAGAATAGATATGTACTTGTTACCTTACAGACAAGGAAGATGAAGAAAAAAACATCATAAACCCTTTTCCCCTTCCARCATGTAACTAAATAGTACAAAACATTAAAGAAGGCAAAACCACTGGAGAAGCTTCAATTAAGCAAAACACAGGAAGCTAATTTTTGAGCCCCCACAGAATATGTCACTTCGTGATACAAATTATTTTTGCAAACTCAATTCACTGTATTTGTCCTTAGAAGCCAAAGCCCTCAAATTTCTTACACTTTTTTTCTATAAATATTACTAAAACCTCATGAATGTGAATAGCCTCAAATTTTCTCAAACATTAACATTCAGGGTTTAGCCAACCTTCCACCTTCCATGCGCTCTACAATAGACATCCCGAGGGTTCATAAGCCACACTGAGATGCTATGAAGAGTTTCACCTTGGCTGCAGCTCCATATATGTCTCATTGACATGCTGCTACATCCACGTAGACCTGAACTCCACCTGTCTTAGACACCCAATGATTATATCAATGCCCATCAGGTAAAACGGCTTCATCAATCCTATTCTGCTTTGTAAAAGAACATTTTTTCAAAATATCCAAATTTAAAGGGAAGTAATTATAGATGCACATTTTACAATATCCTCTCCAGTCCTAAGTCACTGCAGTCTTCCTAAACATCAGGTTTGACACAGAAAGCACAGTTGATGGATACTTCTCATTCTTTTTGATTCCTCAAATATTAAAGACTTTAATAGCTACAGAAATCAATTAATACAYTAATTTAATATCTTTTCTGATTAAGCAGTAGCAATATCAGAATCTATATAGACAAAACTGAGTTTAAAGGACAAAAAAATTCCTGGAGTTGGTAAATAAGAGAGCAAGAAAAAATAATAATAATAAGAGAGCAAGAGACCACTCTCCTAGGAATTTAACATTTTAAGGTATTGGGGAAACTAGACAAACCCATGCAAAACACCCAAATATTCCAAGGCTGGACTCTAAAGGAGCTAATGTTTAATTATTAGGTCTTTACTACCAATAAAATATCTGTTGCTATAAAAATGAATAGTTGTTCTAAAATGTAGTAGTAGAAACAAAGACAGGAGAATCTATGGGRAATAGTTTAAAATGTGAGACATACAAAGATCTAACTACTGAAAGATGAAAAAATTAGAGAGATGTCCATCTAAGTCAAGTTTAGTTTGCTTTGAGATGCAAATTGCTTAGAGGTGAGAGGAGAAGAGGGCCAGGGCAGCCTCTTTAAGCTAACACACATCAATGAAGAAAGGGAGGACTAAGTCAAAATGAAGGATAAAGTTATAAGGAATGTGAACGGAAAGGGCAATCTTTGATGTATGGAAGAGACGGAAGATGCACTACACTTACGACAGAATGGAGACCATTGGATACTAGATACAGGAAGGGCCGCCATCAATATACATGAAGGGATGAGCTGACAGCCTTTGGAGAACCAATGTGACCTCACATGACCCAGGACAGCAATGCTCAAAGCTTGGCAGCACCTAGGTATGGCCTTCATCCTGTAGTGGGCAGAATGAGGCTGTGATCATGATAATATCAATTACAGAAACCATCAAGAGAAAGGTTAAGTGATTTCATCTTTACAAATGCCACTTGGTTTTATTTTTAAGGGTAATATGTTYAGAAATCTCAACACAAGCCTAAACCCAAACTAGAAACTAGGAACTGCTTTAGAATTCCCATCTTTAACAATGGACATACCAGGAAATAACCATCTCTTTGTTTTTAAAAGATAGACTTATTTAACAGTCTTTTAAAACCCTATATAGTTAAAGCAGAGTTTTTAAACATAGCAGGCATGTGCACTATAAAGTTAGCTGAGTGGTCATGAAATGAATTCCATGATGTGATTTAAAGGAATCAATACAATTGTATAAAACTTCACAGACTTTTATATGCAGATATATTCTGAGTAACTTGTTTGTAGTTTCCATATTCTGATAGTATAGAAGTTGAACAGTATGTTTCCTTGGTTGGAGGAAAACTATTTTTCTGCAGTCATGTGTTCTGAATCAGGGTTCTAAAGATAAATATTTAAGAGAGAATTCTAATTTCTCTGCCTCTTAAGCAAAGTATCCACCTTGGAAATATTTTCTAGTTAAAAATTATCTAATAATTCACTAAAATTTTGCCATCTTGAATGCCAAACATAAAGCTCTCCTGTTTTGCTTCCTGCCATTCTGAGATTGCACAACAGGAGTACATCATGTGTACTACAGGTCAGGCACCATACTATATATTGTAGACCTGTCAATTCACTTAATACAGAAATGCCTAAGAGATATGTGTCATCTTCATTTTTACAGATAAGGAAACTGAGGCACAGTGAGATCATGACTTACCGAAAGTCACCAAAAAAGTGTGAAGAGGAACCGAGATTTCAAATCCTAATGATCTGCTGCTCAGAATTTGTACTTTTAAACTTAATGCTAGATTTCCTAAGGATTTAGATACCAATGGGAAATTTCATGATTTAATCATACGGCAAGCATAAAATTTGCCAGCGACAGCAATTCAGTGGGAGTTGGGGGCGACTAGGGATTGAACCCAGGACGTCACAMGTTCTAGCCAAGAGCTATATCCCCAGTCTTACAATCCTTTGTTACTGTCATTGTGAGACAGAATCTCACTAGGCTGCTAACATGGGCCTCCAACTAATGATCCTCCTGCCTCAGCCTCTAGAATAGCTGGAATTACAAGTGTCAGCCACCACACCTGTCTCCTCCAACTAGAGCAATTTTAAAATACAATCTCCTCCATGAATTCAACAAAGTCCTAAATTGCTAAGTTTTTTTTTTTTTAAATGAATAATCAGCTTGATTTTTCATCCCATTTCAACAATAACAACAACAAAACAAACAAAAAACCCACTATACTTCTTTCTTTGGCAAGAGCTAACCCTTACTGACACATACATGAAAGTATTTTTTTAAATTTACTTCCCTATTATCACATTTAYACATTCAAAAAGTATTTTTACATTCAAAAAGCAGAATAGATGCATTCATATTTCAGAGCTGTAACTCTCAAGTCCCTAACAGTCTTAAACTCACCATTAAATTTATTTTTTAAAACCCTAATCATGTGGAAGTCTTCTTGAAAACAAAGGACAATGAACACAGATTCTAGAATAGTCCAAAGCCAGTTTAAAAAAAAAATTAAAGCAAGAGAGGGATATGAGTAGCATACTGAGAGTAAAAGGAATTAAAAGAAAAGAGCTACAGAGGCCCAGACAAACACTTAGAGAATACATGAAAAGCTAACCAGCCACAATCTATCCTTATGAATCAGGTAGTTACCACAGTGATTGAATCTATCAATTCTTATCACATTAACCTGGGTCTTTGGTGAAGTTCACAATGTAACTAAACAAATATACAAGTCACATTTTTAAAAAGAATAAATAAAAATTAGCTAATTCTGTTAAGAGTTGAATATTTAGAGTTTTCCCTGGATAGCCAATGAGGAATAATAAAAACAATCCATATTTACTATTCCAAGTGAAAATCTATTTTTTCTACTATTTCAAGTGAAAAATCTATTTTTAAAGGTCCTTTAAGATTTCAACTTGTATTTATTTAAAGAATGGGAATGACATTATGAGTTCAGTATGTTCTCAAGTGTTTAAAATTTTTTCAGAGGCTATTCACAATAGAGTTGTTATTTAATATCTGGGGAAAACTCCTAAAATTCAATTAGTGATAGATTAATCATGCTATTTTTCTAATCCCCCATACTGACTTAAGGCTGYGGATGTATTTCAACAGTGAGAACGGGTCTGAGAATAAAACAACACATCAGTCATGGAAGTGACGTTCTCCTCTGTGCAGTCCCCAAATGCAATTTTAAAATGCTAAGAATGTGTGTATAACAAACATTCCCATGCTCCCAAGTTGGGGATGTAGGTTAGGCAATATTCTGAACCAAAGATTTCTTCTACAATATATTCTGAAGGTCTCACTTGAAGCCGGATGGTTTAAGAATTGAAAGAATTAGGCTAAAAGAAATACACAATCTAATCATAGCATAACAAGATCGACATGTATATAMAAGAACAACATATCTATAACTTTATCTTAAACATGTACCCCATTAAAAACTTTCCAGCAACAGAGATTTATTAACCAATAATCCCTAATGTTTTCATAACACACTTCCATACATTCACCTTCAAAGCCTGAGAGAGAGAGAGCACTTTATGTAAATGACCGTATTCCTCGATTACAAACTACCTGTCCTCTTATTTACAGCCTCAACCCAGCTCCAGACAATGAAGCTCAAGGGCCTCAAGAATCAACTAGCAAGGACTCGCAGGAAAAACTGTTGGACGCCAGGACTGGAACACTGTGTAGCTCTTAAGAGTTGTGATGGTTTCTTAATAGGTAACMAAGGGTTCTGTGTCCATAAGAACATGACTGTTTTTGTGGTTTCTAAACAAAACAATGAAATTCTTGTAGCCTTTAGATAATCTTAACTACGTAAATTTAAAGCCAAAGCAACTTCTCAACTTTACCAAAACTGTGAATTCATTAAACATCACTAAAAGTAGTATAATTTGTGTACTCAGAAGGAGTAGGTTAAAAAACAAACAAACAAACAAACAAAAAAAAACCCAAGCTTATTCTTTTGGTTCTATATATAACACAGAAACTGAATTTATCTCCCTGGAGAACATGGTGTACATCGGCATCATCAGAGTTTGTGTGTAGGAGTAGTGACTGTGTACAAAGTGGCTTATATTTGGTAGGTTAATAACAATTTAGGTATGATGTCAAATCAATTTTTGAATTTTTTCTTTTTCAGAGTCTAATTTGTAGGATTCAACTGAGGTGGCTGTCCTRTGCTTGTAACATTATTCTCTTGCCTCTCTGTTCTACTAGACCCAAATATCCTCAAGGAAGAAATAAAGAATCTCTTTCCTTCATTATGGTACCTGGTTCAAAGCCTAGTGCATAGTAAGCACTCAATAAATATGTAATAGTTCCATTAWTGTGTGCCACACAGAAGGTCAAAGTGTATATTTTTATTGCTAAAATCTTATTTTTTAAGGCTCTCAATTTTTGCCTACATTACATCTTTATAAATAATATCATTTTCCTTGAGCAAATCTGCCTTGATTAACTGATCTCTGTTCATAATAAGGAAATAAAAACAAGATGTTTATTATACTCTGCTCCAAATAGCTTTGTTTAGCCCAATAATGGCTCAAATCAAACTTAATTCTGTTTTCACTGCTTGCCTTAATACAGCCTGACAAATAKCCTTTTGTCTTTAAAGTCTGCTTTAGAATAATACCTGTTGGGTAAATTAAGTGGCTAGGAATCTGCCTGTTGGGTAAATTAAGTAGCTAGGAATCTTCCTTAATTTAATACTTATTAGAGTAATAGGCATTCAACACTCAGGAATTAGCAGAAATCCACAAATATAGATGCAAAGGTAACTATACTGACTATGAATAATTTTAATAAAAAGATAATGTGATCAAATATCCAGATAATATAGTTCAAGCTTTTAATTCTTGATAATCAGCTATGGTGCCAATTATGTCAAAGACATGAGTTTAAATATGCATGTATACAATAAGGTTTTGTTTTGTTTTGTTAGAGTACAAGGACTGTATTCTAACCTGAGTGAGMTACAGGTAGGGAGCTGGAGATGAGAGAAGGAGGATCCACACAAATCATCCCCACTAAGTTTGTTCAAATGGTTCACACACAATGGCCAGCAATGTAAATGATGACACCTTACACTTCATTCAAGCAGAAGTTTGCAGGCCACTCCAAAATTCTAGTAGACTTCTTTCAATATCTTTGGGACTATATTCTATTTATAACCACAATAATCCCCAAACACCAATACTAAACATAGTTATGAACACTCAATTTCTAAAGCGTGGTTATATTAATAGTCCCATTACATAATGAATAAAACCATAATTAAGCAATCTAACTTAACCAGTCACAGGAARAGAGCTACATATTCATCATCAAATTTCAAGCGGAGTAGGTAAACTATATAGCTTCTAGGTTTCTCTGTCCAAGAGGGATTTTTGAGAGAAGTTTTTTTCTTTTTTTAATGCAAGATACAACCACAAAACAAGACTGTCTTAGAGACTGTATCTTGAATTAAAAATTAGAAAACACACATCCCTGTGTGCAGTGCTGTCAAACACTGCTGTGCAGTAGAAGAATTCCCAAGAGGCCTTGTTAGAGGAGTAGAAGCCACGGGCCCACTCTGTGAGATGGGGTTTCTGTAGGTTTTGAGGCAGGGTCCAAATAACTATATTATGAAGGAGCATAACTTTTAATAGTGCAATAAAATTCTGGTTCAGTTTTGCAATTCTGTCATAAACTCAGAGTATCTCTTATTTTTGAAAAAATGTTAAAAACAGCCAGTGGGTMATAGCATAAGAAATATCTATTCAAGATTCTCATCTGGCCGGGCACAGTGACACACACCTATAATCCCAGGGGCTTGGGAGGCTGAGACAAGGAGGATCCTGAGTTCAAAGCCAGCTTCAGCAAAAGCAAGGCGCTAAGCAACTCAGTGAGATCCTTTCTCACTGAGTTAAAATATGAAATATGAGTTAAAATATGAGTTAAAATATGAAATAGAGCTGGAGATGTGCCTCAGTGGTCAAGTGCCCTGTGTCAAACCCGGGTACCTTCCCCCCACCCACATCCCACCAAAACACAAGATTCTCATCTGAAGTAAAGATACCTAATGCCACTGGGTCGGGGTTGACAGGACTCTGCTGCCTGGAGTGGCTGCTGCTACTGCTGCCGCCTTTTTTCAAGTCCTCAGCATCACTGTACCGCCGGATCCAGTAATTCAATTCTTCCCGGTCCGCTTCCTGACATCGCCTTAGTACAGTGAGTGACCGCCTTGTTTTTTCTACCATGTCCATTATGCAGTTTAACAGCTGCGTGAGAAACAGGGAGAAAGAGGTGAACATACAAATCACCACAGATTAAAGAATTTGGTGGGTAAGAAAACCAACTATTTCAGGATAATGAAAGATGAAATTGCATTCCTGAAGGATTTCAGTTTAGTATTTCTAATGGTCAGATCTGAAATTCCGACCCAACAGATGAGCATATTCAATAGGAAAGAGAAGAAAAGCAAGAGGTCCGAATGTGAATCATGACAATCATATTTACCTTCAAGGTGTTATAATTAGTAAATCTTCCTTTCCAGAATAGTAAGCCAATCACCCTTTCAAAATAAAACAGTAGCCTGCTGGTCTTTTTCCAAGATCTAAATATTTCTCTTATGTGGCTTTCACATCAACTTGGAAATCAAATCCTGCATTCTACTCAAACATTTTCATTCATTCTTTTTTTTTTCAAGGAGATCAGGAAACACAATACCTTCAAAGCATCTTTAAGCTTTTATTATATGACCTCACTTCAGTTGTTCTCAAAACATTTTTTTAACCTAAATGTTTACTGATGTCTTACATGGTCAAGATGTTTCCATTCTTCTGCCCATTCTCTGTCTGTTAGTCTGTGATCAATCATTTCTTCTTGACGTGTGCCATGCAACCCTACAAATAGAGAGAAAAAGGCTTAATTGCCCTAAAGCATTCAGTACCCAATCTGTATGCAATCCTGCACATAGCCAGGACCATGTAGGCGATTTCAAAGATGTTAAAACATTTTATTTTGATTGGAGATAAGAATTATACTTAGTCAGAATTACCCAATGGCATCCTCATAAGAATGACAAAAATATTAGAACTCCAAGGAATTCTAGAGGTCATCTCATCAGAACTCTTTATTTTACACACGAGGAGGCAGAGCTACATGATAACAAGTCTAGAGCTTCTTATTCATATGAGACTCCCTAARTACAAATATAAACATATTCTTAGCTCTTAATAAATACAAGAAATTGGGGCTGGGATGTAGTTAGGTTGTAGACAGTGTGGTTAGCATACACAGGCTCTGGATTTACTCCCCAGCACTAAATAAACAGAAAAAAAAAAAACATGAGTAGACATTAGGTGACTTCAAAATATGACTGGTCTGCATTAAAAAATAGACATTATGACTCATTTTATATGATTTCCCAAAACATAGTAAACCATTTTTTCATGTTTCAGCTATAGATGAATACAATCCTAATATATGCATCTTGCTGATAAAATTAGGCCACAAAGAGAGTGTTTTTATATATGTACATAAAAGCTATACATACTAATTCAATTTACAAAAACATAAGATATAAAAATGAGATATGCTTTATCAAAAAAATCAGCATGCCAGTTATACTTCAACAAATATCACATTCAAATTAAAAAACTGAAAATCATAATTTGAAGTCCATGAGTATTAATGCTCTTTAGCACCACAGTTATACTGCTATGAAAAAGTATCATGTAAATGTTTACCAAGTGCACTGATATTAATGAATGAGAGCAGTTAGGTAAGTTAGTCATTAGACTATGAACATGCATTTCCACATTTCTCCATAAAATGTCAGAATAGAAGACTGATGAGAGATGTCTAGAAACCTGGTGTTCCTCTCATGCCTTCATTGTGGAAAGTGCCCTTTACCATCTACATCAAGGAAGGGCACTGGGCAATGTTATGCTTTCTGCTTTGAATGACCAAAACAATTCTTTTTGGTTGCTCTGCCTCACATTGTTAATCTGAACAGCAAATTAAGTCTGGAATGGTTTGGGCTTCTAGACATTGAGGCTCCTTCTCTGAGGTCCTGTCATTTAAGCATTAAATGACAATAAAAAGATATTGCATTCCACTTTTTGTGAAATCTAAGTGGTTAAAAATCTTTTCTTTCTGCTGACTTAAGGCGAAAAAAAAAAAGATGATTCACATGACTCTTTTCAGCCAACTATAAGGTACAATTTCATCTATAACCCATGAAAGTGAACATTTATGATAGCTCTCTCAGGTTAAAAAATAATAAAAAATAAAAAAGATATAAAAATACTATACATCATTCCTGTCCAAACAGAACATACTCAGAGATAAATTWTAAAAGTTAAAATTGTCAATGCCACCTATTGGCAAAACATAAAATTGCAAATGTTTTACTAATTTGCTTAATAGAAAAGATATTGGGAGGGGGGAGAATAGTTATTCCTCTGTTTATTGTGAATATTTCAAGTTGAAATGTTTGCAAATATGTAATTTTTGTTGACTTATTTGTTGCCTGTGTTTGGGAGAAAAAAAAAACACTATTCCTACAATTAATCACCACAGAAAATAACCAGAGGGTGATGAAAATATAAATGTGACAGGAACTTTCAAGATGGTGGCATCTAAATGTTTGGCAATAAGAACCAAAACCTCCAGAGGTCTCAACATTTCCAAAAATTCTGCAAACTAAATCAATAATGATTCAAGCTCTAACACTCAGAACAATTAATGAGCAATAGAAAGTTTGTGGTTAACAGGCGTCTACTACGAGTCTTAGTAGTCTAAGTTTCATCGCATTCTTTTAAAACAGAAGAATGGTAGAAACATTGTCATGCCCAAGTATTTACAGAAGAAATAAGGGCTTCATCTGGTACTTTCAAACTCTGAAGGTCATTTGTTAGAATCAAATCTATGTAAGGAAAAAATAAGACAACTGAAAACTAATGTCTTTACTTCACATACTTAAATATTCAACACCATACAAATTTTATTTGTGTTCATAATACCATAGGGATATACGAGAGTAAAATAGCTCATAATCATCAAAGAACACATTTTCTGTTTGTGGGCCACCTGGCACTAATGTTGTGTCTTAACTGGTTCCTATGTTTTAGAAGATTTTTAGCTAACTAGGCTAAAACCCAAAGCTTACTTACAAAAACTAATGCTGCTTACAAAATTACTTTATTAAAGGATTCAGTTGAGTATATGTCACTACATATAACACCCATTTATAAATCATATCAGACTAAATATACCTTTATGACAATTTTTATATTATCAAAATGGCAGCCTGATGTAATGCCATAATTTGTTACTCATACATCAAGATTTTATTTTACATTAACACACACTAAACTCTGGCAGACTTTAGGGATGGTTAAGTAGCTGCACATATTTATAGAGATTAGCACTATTAGTTTTATAAGCTAATATAATTAAAAGGTAAGAAACATGGTCTGAAGAAAATCACATAAAACCAATGGATACAGATATGATTCATAAAGGGATATTTTACATTACTAGATGAAAACATAATCATTGCACATAAGCATAATTACTTCCTTGCTGATTACTTTATAGTGCATTGTAACTAATAATTCACCAAATAGCATTTTCTGCCTAAGAAGTAGACCATTCTCTGGCAYCTACAACAGTGCATCATCTCCTGAACTGGTCTCACAGTAACCTRATGATTCCACTGCTATTTAAACATGAGCAATCATATTTTCAGGCCTTAAGTCATCAATAAATGGTAAGGCTTCTGCATAGAAAGGGGTTGTAATCACATTTGGTTTTGAGGTCTCAGTCTAGACTGAAAGAAAGCATAACCACTTTTGAAAAGCCYTTCAGAAATATTACCTGTGAGAACATTAGACAGAACATTAGAAAGCACAAATTATCTGCTTAGCCATTTTTGTCTGACACACTATATAAACATAGAAATTACTGTTGTGGGCAACCAGAATTACTAATTTACTATCTCACAACCAAAGCCTCAGTCATCTCATCCCCATCCTGCTTTCTAGACATTTGGAGGACTCTGGACAGGAAGGCAAAAATACTACCTTATAGCAGCCTAAAAACCTGGGTAGAAGCCTAACACAAACTTCTGCATTTCAGGCTATCTCTGCCTGTGAAAAACAAATATGAAAATAAAATCCTGTCACTATTATTCCAGCAGCCAACAGGTGGCTGGCTGTTTCCCAGTGTTCTGTATCTTCAGCTCTGTTTTCTGATTTTCTACTTCGACTTCACCCTTGTTCTTTCTGGTATCCTGCCCACCAAATCTCCCATAGTCGGGAAAATTGGCCAACAGCTAGTTATGAAGTAAAGGGAGTCCTGTTGGTGGGTGGTATGGTCACAGGAGATGAGGGAAAAAGAGGGAGATGGTTGTTGCTCTTAGTGAGATTCTGAAGGTTAGACATTGAAGGTGTCCCAGGAACAGCGTACTTACTACCTGATACCATCACCTCAACCACACATCATTTATCAAAACTTACCTTAGGCATCTTCCTTCTGATTTTTTGCAGCAGACATTTGCTCAATAAAAGGCAAGATCTCCTAAAGCTTTATATCCAACAGTTTTATGAAGAGTAATGGACACAGGCAAGTAGGACCCAAATTTTCCTAAACTCATTCATTCTGTATTCTGTTCTTTGATGCAAAATCAACAATACTAATTTTAATCACYGGCATTTTCTAGCAGAGAAAAGTACCAAGCATTCCTCACTGTCAAGTTAAGCCATAAACAGTATGCCATCTCATATTTTGGAAATATGGAATATCATGGAGACTGCACAAGTCCCAATGACTATTTGAAACAAAAAATATATACAAAAGAAACTAATTTTTAAAAATATTTTTTTAAAAAGAGTCACTGCTGTTTGATTCTCAAACAGACTACATATGAAATCTCTCATAAAACAAGATTCAAGCTAAAAGTTCATTTTACTTTTGTTACCATAATTAAGGATTTTATTATTAAGTTTGATGCCCTCCTCCAAAATCAAAAAGAAAATTAGCCTGCTGTCTTCAAGCATATAAGAGTATACTAATAACACCAAGTTTTCTCATAAAGGGGACAAAATGAAGAAAGCAAAACTTTGCCCCTGTAAGACTTCAAGCCTCAAACTCAGTTGAGAAGTAATGATGCAAGAACCTAAAGCATCCAAATGCCAAAAAAGTGAATAGATCTTTCAGTCTTACCCATAGGTCTGTTTCTGTCCCTGAGGTCCCTGTGGCTGGGGTGTCGATAGGAGTCCCTGTAGTGGTGGGCAATAGCCATATCAACCAAACAGTAATGCTAAAGTGGCGGTGGTAGGGTGGGGTGAGGTGGGATGAGGCAGACCATTTAGCTGGTAGGATAAGCATTATTTGGACTGTACTGCTGGCCTGGGCTAATAGTGTATGGTTGCTTCCTTGGATGTTCTAGTGCAAAGGCTCTCTGTCAAAGCCATTTTCTTTGGTTCTGTGGGGCAGAAGAAAGAGTTTTATTTCATTATATACTCAGAAACCAGCATAATTCAGATGCTCATATCAAGCTTGTATCCACAGAATATTCCTTTACTGGCCAGAAGCTTTCAAAATTCAGCAGCTTCCCAGGACACTTGCAGGAATGCCCTGAAACCCACATTGAGGCCCAAATGATATGAGATTGAGCATAGAAGAAAATGTGTCACTTGTCATCAAATTAATAAACATTTTTCCAGCTGAAACTCATGTGGTTAAGTCACAAATAAGAGGAAACCCGATCTCCTTTTTCTGCATTTTCATGCAAAAAAAAAAAAGTGATTGACTTCTAACAAGCTACTTGACAGAGTGTAGCCAGTGACAATTCAGCAGGATATAAATCGTCACTCTCTGGAAGAATGCAGCACACCTGTTCTACCCAGCATCTGATTTTCATGTCAGACAACACCTGAGATCTGGGTTGTCCAATAGAGTAGCCACATGTGACCCTTTAAATTCAAATGTTACCTAATTTTTAAATTATATAAAGCTTAAAATTCAGTTCTTCAGTGGCAGTAGCACTTTTCAGGTACTCAACAGCCTGCTGTGGCCATTGGCTACAGAACTGGACTGCAAAGACATAGAACTTTCGCATCATCACCAAGTCTATTGGAAAATGAGGATCCAACTGAGCTAACACGATGAGCAATGTAACATCTGGAATACCAATATTATTTTGTGTCACTAGCATGATCAGTCAACAGAGCTAGCTGCAACTAGGAGGAAGAACTAAATTGCTCACACATGCCCAGAGAGTCTGTGTGTCCTGTCTGAGGTCATCAGGTCTTAGAACAACAGCCTTCATCATGTGACCCACAGAACTTTGAACTTGGCTTTCAGAAGAAATACATTTCAAAAATGAGGCCTGATAACTAATCACTGCTGTTTGATTCTCAAACCAAAGTAGGGCTAAAAAAATATATATATTCTAAGGAATCTCTATTGCTTAGAGACTTACTCAATATATTTGATAAGATAGAAACAAGTTGCATCCAACTCTGACAGAATCACAACACCTGAGCTAAGGCTTCCCACGGCAGCTGGCTCTCCTCAGGAACCAGCAATTTATTCTTAGACCAGTGGCAGCATCTATGTTCCCAGAGAAATCTCCTAAGAATTCTACCCATTCACAGTGGTAAGGCTGCAGATTTCCATGTGTCTCTTAGTTCTTTAAGTTGGTAAAACAATAGTTATAGAGGACTTAATACACTTTTTCTACTTTCCTGGCACCTAGTAAGAGCCTGATAATACCAGAGAGGAACATCTAAGCGGAAACTGGATTAACAATGGATATTATCAGGGGCAACAGGGCTCTACAATGACTAAACCTTATGTTCTTTTAGGGTAGAGTCCCAGTGAAACTTAGATAACCAGACTGAGAAGAACAAAAGGGTCAGAGACAGAAAGTGTAAGAACACAAAGAATGAAGGAAAGTCTGCAGAGTTGAATGTGGAATGAGCTCATGACTACTACAAGCTAAAGGAGGAGCACCAGCTAAAGACAGGAGACTGGCCCATACTGGAAATGACAGCAATCCATGGTCCCCCTGGGAATGGCAGCCAGCCATCTCAATGCTGCTCCCATCAAGTGCATGTCTGCACAAAAACATACTGACTCCGTACATATTGATCATTGGTATCAGACTAAAATATCCAGTATAGCTCAGACATTACCTAAATGTATTGCTTTAAAATAATTTCTAAAAGTGAAAGGAAACATTCTAGATATTGATTTATCTTCTAAGAGTACACCTATGTGATTTTAATCTGTATTTTTATCCTTTGCATTTCTGAATAATACACTTTAACATTCAATGCATATTACCAGCATAAATCAGTTACAAAATACTAAAGACAATTAGTAGCTATGAACATAATGCTAACACAGCACCTACCTTATGGCAGTATRGTATAATGGAAAGAGCACTGGACTGGAAATCAAGAAATCTGAGACTAGTCCTAGCTCTGCCATGACTACCTGTGTGACCTTGGACAAGTCACCTAAACTCTCTTTCATCTGTAAAATGAAAGGGTTGGACTAGATCAACAGTTTTCAAACTGTGTCACCTGAAGTGCTTAATGGATTCTGCAGGCAATGAAGACCTTTTCCCCCAACTGATCAAAATTAAAGGATTCAAGGAACTCCCCTGTTATTAACTGTGTTAAAAATTGGAGTCCCCTTGGGCTGGGGATGTGGCTCAAGCGGTAGCACGCTCGCCTGGCATGCATGCGGCCTGGGTTCGATTCGATCCTCAGCACCACATACAAAGAAAAGATGTTGTGTCCGCCGAAAACTAAAAAAAATAAATAAATATTAAAATTCTCTCTCTTTCTCTCTCTTTAAAAAAGAAATGGAGTTCCCTCTAAGATTTCATTTTTAAAGGAAAAAGTCTGCTGCTAAAATCAAGTTTGAAAACCACCAGACTAAATGATTTCTGAGGTCCCTTCTAGTTATAAAACTTGACAATTCAATTTTTCTATATTATAATATTCTAATTATTCTATAGAGTTTAATGTCATGGTTCTGTAGATCAAAACACACAGGGTTGATGGTTCGCTGGTCAAACCAAACAACATACAAATAAATTATTCATAAATTATTCATAGCTTATTTTTGTGTGAAAATTATATATATATATATCTTCAAAATATCATTGTGCAGATCCTGTAGCATTTCTTTTTTCCCCATGATGCTGGAGACTGAACCAGGGTTTTGCACRTGCCAGGCAAGTGCTCTGCCACTAAATGACATCCCTAGCCCTTTTTATTTTGAGATAGGGTTTTCTAAGTTGCCTTTACAAGGTCTGGCCTTGAATTTGTGATCCCCCTGCCTCAGCCTACCAAGTAGCTGAGATTACAGATAAGCACCTTCCCTGTAGCATTTCTATATATGAAACATCTTTGACCCATTTGTTTGAAACCAGCCCTACCTACAATATTTCCTCTCTTTGTTTTTCAATGAGAGCAACAACAACATAGAACACCAGAAGAATCCTGGTAACTTTCAAATTGTTAGATATGTTACAGACCTTCAACCTCACATGAGCCCTCATTGGTAGTTATTACTTAGATGACCCAATTATATGGGGATGGGGAGAGTTTCTTCCCCTAATGCAAGGGCAGCGATGACCTGAGAGGCAGGGCTGGGCCCTGCATCTGTCCCCTGATTTCTGCATATCCTTGCTCTCCTTTACTGGGTCTCCTCACTCCTGACAGCTAGTGAAACAATAAGGCTCATCACTTACAGAGCAGTTACATTTTAACAGCAAAGCATGGAAACTTTTGTAGCCCAAATAACTAAAGTTACAAAAGACTCCCTGTTGCTTCTTCTAATCACTCAAGACTAGCTTTTAGGCTAGCCCAAATCAAAGGATGTTCATCCAGAATGATGACTAGAACAACTTAATTGCTATCTTCGGCTATCTACACCTTATTTGCCTAGGCAAATTTTGTATTTGCATTTTAATTTGTTGCCCTTTCAAAGTGTACTAGGCAAAAATAAACACTTTCCATTGTCCCATAGGCATGCCCTTGAAATAACTTAAACTCTACAAGGAAACCTGTCAGGTCTCATAGACACGTGGAACAAAGTTTTGGTTTGGTTTTAAATTTTACCTAAGGATATTTCTTTTTTTGCCTGATCATCATCTGAGCATTTCAACATTTAGCTTCTCTGTCAAGCACTTCTCTGTCAAGTCTGACATCCTGAGCCCAGAGGGCACTCAGGACTCTGCTGCATGATCCCAGATTCCTTAGTCTTCCAGCCTCAGCTTCATACCTGGTACAGTGCACACATTGGAAATAACTGTGGGGACAACTGAAGAGATAGCCTAACTTACACTTTATGCCATTGGAGGCTTCCCCTGACCCCAGTTCCTCAATAACAGGATCTATAAACTGACCATTTACAAAAGAACATGAACATTTTTTATAAAACTCTACACACATTATTTAACAAGSTATAATTGGCTAGTGTGCACTGATACTCCCATAGTAACATGTATAATAAAATAGTATAACTGTCAAGGAAACAGGAAAGAAAAAAAATCTCATAAATAGTCAACATAGTATGCAGAAGAAGAGGATAAATCTCCTAATGACAGGAGAAGGTATAATCTTCTTTCTTCCCCTACATTAAGATTTTTTTTAATGTGGGGAAAATTCAATTATAAACTTTTCTAGGGGAGGCAAAGTGGTATCACAATAAACTTTAGAAAAGGAAAGAAGGGCAAATGCTAATCTTAGCCCTGTTGCAAATAAATCTATTACATGCCTTAGCTCTCACTTGAGTCACAATGGGCATCTCAAAATGARCATGTTTAACTTGGCCTTGACTCTCTCATGCATTCTGAGCCACCTTCCAAACCATCATCCAGGGAGAAAGTTGAAAGTCATTCTACAGTCTTCTCCAAATCCAACTCCTATCACTGATCTCTTAAGGACCTGTGGMAGGCTCCTCCTTTTGTTCCAGGAAACCTTGATCTTGATCAGTCACTGCTGCTTGCTGGACCCCAGCTGCTTGCTTGGACAGCCATGTTCTACCCAGGGCTCTTCAAAAGACAAGTAGCAGTGAGACACTGATCTAAAGTTCCTATGAGATCTAACATCCTGTCACACACTGAATCTTCCTTTATTCTTTATTCTTAAATTTTAGAAGTCTACATCTAAATTCTAGGAGGTAATGGTTCTATTAAAGATCAAAGACAATAATAACTCAATAGCAAACCTGTTTCCCTTCCTTTTCTAACACACACWGTTTGTCAAGGCTACAGAAGGACTAGATGGAGGGGGGGGGGAAATCACTCTTGTCATCATATTTGAAAACATAATTTAGTAAGAGGTCTCTTTAGAAACTGTTAGGAAATAGGTGAGTTTAAATAAGAATTTCACATAATTCGTTTTTCATGGTGTTGAATAATGTATCTGAAACAAAATAGATTACAAACTCCCCTGTCTCCTT